ATCAGAACCCCAATAAATCAGAGCCCCATCGATCAGAACCCCAATAAATCAGAGCCCCAATAAATCAGAACCCCAATAAATCAGAGCCCCATCAATCAGAATCCCAATAAATCAGAGCCCCAGTAAATCAGATCCCCAATCAAAGCCCCAATAAATCAAAGCCCCAATCAACCAGAACCCCAGTCAATCAGAACCCCAATTAAAGCCCCAATCGATCAGAACCCCCATCAGAACCCCAGTCAATCAGAACCCCATCGACCAGAACCCCAATAAATCAGAGCCCCAGTCGACCAGAACCCCAATCGATCACAACCCCAACAGATCAGAACCCCAATCCACCAGAGAACCCCAATCCATCAGAACCCAATAGATCAGAGCCCCAACAGATCAGAACCCAATTGATCAGAACTCAATCAAAGCCCCGATCAATCAGAACCCCAATCAACCAGAACTGCAGTCAATCAGACCCCAATCGACCAGAGAACCCCAGTCAATCAGAACCCCAATCAAAGCCCCAATAAATCAAAGCCCCAATCGACCAGAACCCCAATAGATCAGAACTCCAGTAGATCAAAGCCCCAATCGATCAGAGCCCCAATCAGAACCCAATTGACCAGAGCCCCAATAAATCCGAGCCCCAATCGACCAGAGCCCCAATAAATCAAAACCCCAATTGACCAGAACCCCAACTGATCAGAGCCCCAATCAATCAGAGCCCCAATCAATCAGAGCCCCAACCAAAGCCCCAATAAAAACCCCAATCGACCAGAACCCCAATAGATCAGAACCCCAACAGATCAAAGCCCCAATCGATCAGAGCCCCATCAATCAGAGCCCCATCAATCAGAGCCCCATCAATCAGAGCCCCAACCAAAACCCCAATCGACCAAAACCCCAATCGATCAGAGAACCCCAACAGATCAGAACCCCAATTGATCAAAGCCCCAGTCAATCAGACCCCAATTGACCAGAACCCCAATCAGAACCCAATCAATCAGAGCCCCAATTATCAGAGCCCCAATTATCAAAGCCCCAACCGATCAGAGCCCCAGTCAGAACCCAATTGAGCAGACTCCCAATAAATCAGAGCCCCAGTCAATCAGAACCCCAATAAATCAAAACCCCAATAAACCAAAACCCCAATAAATCAAAACCCCAATAAATCAAAACCCCAATCGACCAGAGCCCCAGTCAATCAGAACCCCAACAGATCAGAACCTAATCAACCAGAGCCCCAGTCCATGAGAGCCCCAATCGATGAGAGCCCCAATCAATCAGAACCCAAATCAATCAGAACCCCAACCAAAGCCCCAATAAATCAAAACCCCAACTGATCACAACGCCAACCAGAACCCCAATTGATCAGAGCCCCAATAGATCAGAACCCAATCAATCAGAGCCCAATCAATCAGAGCCCCAACCAAAGCCCCAATCGATCACAACCCCAACCAAAACCCCAACAGATCAGAACCCCAACAGATCAGAACCCCAACAGATCAGAGCCCCAACAGATCAGAGCCCCAACAGATCAGAGCCCCAATTGATCAGAACCCCAATTGATCAGAACCCCAATTGATCAGAACCCCAATTGATCAGAACCCCAGTCAATCAGAGCCCCAATCAGAACCCAATCGATCAGAGCCCCAATCAGAACCCAATTGAGCAGAACCCCAATAAATCAGAGCCCCAGTCAATCAGAACCCCAAATCAAAACCCCAATAAATCAAAACCCCAATAAACCAGAACCCCAATAAACCAGAACCCCAACAGATCAGAGCCCCAGTCAGAACCCAATCGATCAGAGCCCCAATTATCAGAGCCCCAATTATCAGAGCCCCAATTATCAGAGCCCCAATCAGAACCCAATCGATCAGAACCCCAATAAATCAGAGCCCCAACCAAAACCCCAATAAATCAAAACCCCAATCGATCACAACCCCAACCAAAGCCCCAATCGACCAGAACCCCAATCGACCAGAACCCCAACAGATCAGAACCCCAGGCAATCAGACCCCAGTCGACCAGAACCCGAGTTGATCAGAGCCCCAATCGCCGCCCCCATGCCGCCCCCCCTACCTTGCGCAGCGCCTCGTTGTCCTCCATGTAGCGCCGCGCTGCCTGGCTCGCGCCCTCAGCCTGCTTGCGGAACGCCTGGCTGGAGGCGCCCAGCAGCGCTTGCTGCGAGATCAGGGTGACCAAACGGCGCAGCAGGCTGCAAACGGGGCGCATCAGCAGCGCCGTGCCACCGCAGGGGGGGCAGAGCGAACACGAGCCCCCCGCGACCCCCGGCGTTCCCCTCAGGGACGCCAATAGGGCCGACGGAAGCCCCTTAGGGCCGCCTCAGATCAAATTCCTTCCTGTACTCACAAGGAGAGCAGCAGCGCAAAGCCGGCCAAGTAGAGGTTGCGTTGGGCGCGGAACAGCCGCATGTGGAAGTGCTCCAGGGCCCCCGGCGTGCTGGGCAGCGCGGCCCGATCCGAGGCGTCGTACTTACGGGTCTCCCTGTAGGCATCTGCAGGGGGCGGGA